GAATGTCCATGGAAGATGGTTCTCCAGTCATGTTTACAAGATTGAGAGGGTGCTGTGGGAGTTATGGGCCTCTCAGGAAGTGTCACATGTAGGAAATGTGGACAGGATGAATCCTCCTACAAAATACTGTGTCAGTGCCAAATTCTGGCTGGCACATAACAGAGACCTTTGGCTTTGCAATTAAATAATCAGGCATCAAACAGGATGGTGTCATGATTAGGTCCCAAACAAGATCAGGAACACATAGTGAACCCAGCAGTGGTGTGACAGCTTGGGGAGACTGAAATTAATGTTCCCTAAGCCAACATCAATCTCTGCTTCTAGTACCGAGTACTATTATCTCCATGAAACATTCTTCAGGTATTCATGACTTTCTTGCACACTGTGTATGGATTTCATTAACTATGGTGATATCATACCTAACTGTCCAGCCATCTTTTAGCGCTGAAACTACTCAATGAATTTCAATGAAGTGTGGTATGGGGGGCTGTGGTAAAAGATTTCAGGAAAATTTAATTTTCACCTGTATTCCACAGTAATCAACTTCAGACATGACTAAAATGAAACTATGTACATAGTATGAAACAAAAATCTCATACAACTGCTCCATAGTGATTCCATGTTAAAAAAAGTAAAAAATGTTATACAACATGTCATGAGATGCCCCTTTTTTTTAGATACACTTCACCATCAAATTGGGTAACATACTTCTCAGCAGTGTTGTCATGGTATGAAGCTCATTGTTTGGTGTACTCAAGATATTGTGCACACCAGTGTTTGGCACTGGTTTAACATGACATATCCGAGAAGGTTGATTAGACACTGAGGGCCAATTGCGTGGCCTCCTCAGTTGTTGGATCTAAGCCCGATGGATTTCTTCCTGCAGGGTCATGTATATGCAGTCCATCCTAAGACTATCAAGGACCTCACAGAAAAACTTCAAGCAGCTGTCACAACTGTTGATGCCAACATATTTGATTCCATATGGCAGGCACACTGCCTCTGATTTCACACGGATAGAGGCCATTTTGAACACATATTGTAACCATGACATGTCCATGGTTTCATCATTCATAGCCTGTGTCATCTGGCAGTGATATGTATCCACATACCAATATTTTTGACGTTTTTTCTTTCACGCTTTAACAAGGAATCATACTATGGAGAGTTCGCATGAATTTCATTTCACCTTGCATATAAACATTCTCAAAACAAGTAATATTTTAAAAAATCAGACACACTATATAACACATGGCTCATTAAGTGCAACACATTTCATCTTCAACACCTTTTGATGAGCTGGAGATTTAATGTTATACAATAAAAACCCCTTTACAGTTTCTTTGGTGAGCACTGTACTTCACATTACAGTGAGTAAAATCTTAAAAGGTGGTAATCTGTCACCAAGATTGTTTACTTGGGATTACTGAAAACTGACATTAAATGATGCACACCCTTCAATCTAGGAACATTAAATGGGGGTCCACCATACAAGGAAAACTAATTCAAGGCTAAGCAGTTTTAATGTTGTGAATTTATCTCTGCAACTGCAATAAATCAGTGAAACTAATGAGGAATGAGCAATTGCAAAGAATATATTTGGAGAGGTAAAAAGTATCTCTAAAATCCAACACACAGGAGGCTCAATGGACTGTAGAGATCCTCAAGGCATGTAGGCAGCAATGCCATCACGAATGAAACCCTTGATCTTTTGTCCAACTTTTGACCAAAACGTATGCTTTACTGTATATGGAGGTGCAGTGAAACTTTTGCAGTTTATTACACTTACAGTCCAATTACTTTTTATTATAAGTCCATTTATGGCCTTAAGTAAAGTAACTTTAGTGAAAGTTCCTCATAATGAATTAAAAGAAACATGTACCCAGTAATTTTAGTGGTGATGCTAAGTCAAAGAAAGACAGAAGGCCTTCATACAAGGCACACTTCAAAGAATGACTACAAATGTATGGATCCTGAACTGCTTGCTTCCTGACTCAGAAAATGTATCAACAGGAGTTTTACATGGGAATTATCATTAATTACTTATGTGCAAATTTTACATATTTCAAGTATGTAGGTAACACAAATGAGACTGTTGATTCATATTTTAATGTCTCTTATTTTCTTATATTTAATGTATCAAGTTTTCTTATTTACAAAATATATATACTGTATGTACAGCATAAAGGCATTTACAATAGTAATACTGTACTGGTAAACTGTGGCTCCACTGAACTTCCTACTACACAGTGTGGGCAACATCCCTGACACTCTTATTCAGATTTACATTATACTGAATCCTCTCATTGCCAACCTCCAGCATATTCATTACCTATGGTGCATTCAGAATGAAGAAAAGATTAAGCAATCTTACAGACATTTACATCTACGATGCCACATACACAAACAATATTTTCTTTCCCCACTGTGGGATGTAGTGTACTTGTATTTCTTCAAGTAGTAACACACAGTTCATCCATTGTAAAGAAAGTTTAATATTTTCTTTAATACTATTCCTTTCTTTTTTTTTACATTATCCAAGCTCTACTCAATAAAAGCAGCACTGTTTCCGAATAATGCAGATGGTCAGTCCAGTACACTCAAATGATTGCAGAGTAGTGTGTGTTAATGATAACATGAAGTACATCGATAGATAATGGCCAATGATTTTAACTGTTTCTTGCATCCTGTTGTGTATTTAATCATTATTAGAGTCAATTTTACCAACCACACAACATATTTTTATTATTATTAGAGTCAATTTTACCGACCACACAACATATTTTATACCGAATACAAGTGAAAAGTGAAAGCACAACAAGTGACCTGAATTGAAATTCGACTCACAAACTTTAAATTTTTTAAACAATTTTAAATTTGAATTTTAACTCTTGACTTTTAGAACAATTTTAACTTGTGTTTTATGAGAGAGCTTGATATATTATTGAGCGTGAGCCTGAATCAGATACAGGATCGAATAAGTGAGAAGACGAATGTGATTGCGTGTAATTATACAGCTGTGTTCGTACACCTGAGGATGACCTCTTGAGGTCAAAACATGTAGTGTAATAATAATAAAAATATGTTGCGTGGTCGGTAAAATTGACTCTAATAATGGCCAATGATGCTTCTGTAAATCACAAAATTTCCTAATGTGACAGCAAGCTACCATTTCAAGTACACATTCTAAGAAGCTGATTTCAAAACACAGGTGTATACTGGCAATGGACTTGAACTTAGATGAATGACAGGTACACTGCCTGCAATATTTCACTGTATATTGCAACAGTTTTCCAATAGTTTATTATATATACTGGACAGACCATAAAGCAGGGTGATTACTATTTCAGTGGCAAATACCAGGTACTATCACGAAGTTCCTGGACTGTTACTGTTGTAACTGCCTCCGTGAAAGAAGATGAGAGGGGAGGCCAAGGTTACAATTCTGCAAGCCCATGAACGTGGATGGCAAAATCGAGCAATGTGTCTGCATCAATTTCTGTGTGAAGCTCAGTAAATCCAATACTGAAACCCTTGAAATGCTTCTTGAGGCTTTTGGAGAACACTCTTTAAGCTGTATAGTGGTCTTTGAAAGACATTCACATTTCAAGGCTGGTCGAGTGTCAGTTGATGACTATGAACGTTCAGGGTGACCAAGCACCAGAAAAACAAAAGAAAACGTTGAAAAAATTCTAGAACTCATAAACAAAGACCACCACTGAACAATCCATGAGCTCCCAGACACTGCTGGAATCAGTCACGGAGTTAGCCAGGAGATCTTATCAGAAAATTTGAACATGCACTGCACTGATCCTCCATCACAACATGTCCATCCACGTGCCCCTGAAAACCACCCCATCCACCCTACTCACAAGACTTGTCCCCTGTGATTTCACTTAGTTTCTAAAATTTAAAATAAAACTGAAGGGACGATTTGGAACAGCGCCCGATATCCACATGGAATCGCAAGTGGTACTCATTAGCATCAAGGAAAATGGCTTCCACAGCTCTTTTTAAGTGTGAAAAGAACAATGGGATCGCTTTATACGTTCCCAAGGAGATTATTTTGATGGAGATGGCAGCCAAAAATTCAGTAACTTAAGCCAGCATTTCTTTTTTGACCTAGTCTGGGAACTTTCTGATAGCACCTTGTATATTCATTATCACTCTGCCCTTCACATTATTTCTGAATACACACATACTACTTTTTGTATTTCATAATTTTAGTGTCAGATTCAAAGAGCATTATATGCCAAGACAACATGCCTTCAAGCTAAATCTGAGAGAATCACACCAAATATTTGAAATACTATTATTAACACTGCAATAAAATTGGATGGGAGGAACTGACTGTGCTTGTGAAATGTAGAAAATTTTGTAAATAAAAATAAAGGATACCTTAATAAAAGAAATAAAATATAACTACATACTCATCACATATACACTGTGTCCCCATTTCTGTATAAAAGCATTTACAGCAGTGGTTCACAAGTCCTTGGATTCAGGGAATTCACCAGTAAAATATTTCTGGGGATCAGTTCCATTGTAAAACAAATTCAGTTATACATACAACAAAGAAGTTACACTAGTGTTGCTAACCCGTTTGTTTTATAAGAACGCTATTTTGTAACGTGCTTCAGTAACATAGGTGTAACATGTAGTTAACAATGCTTTTCTTTCAGGGGAGATTATTTGTAGAACACTAACTGGATAGATATATGTGTGTCAGGTCAAGTGGGTGGTGGATATTGGGAGAGGAACATACAATGGAGAAATTATTGGGGGTAAGGGGGGGGGAGTATGGTAACATATTTCTGATACAAGGAATGGACTGAGTGATAAAAGGACTACAACCACAGTTTTACAGGGAGATATCACAATAAACTGACCTTGTATGCACATTAATTGTCTGGTCCCATTTACCTCAGCAAGTGAGAGTTTATGTTGTAATTGTGGTAACATGAGGATACATCCAGGGCAAGGAAAAATGGTACATTTTCTACACTGTAATTGTTTTTATTGGAATGTGGTGCCTAAACCTGTCCACAGCTGTACATGAAATGTCACATAACCTAGCTGCTATTTGTTGGAATAAATGCAGAACTTATATACATCTGACCACAGACATCAAAGAAAAGCCTTGCAGCACTGCAATTAAATCTTCACCACAAATTTCTTTGTCAAGGAAATTAAAAGGTTAATTACAATATAAATTAGTAGAATCATCATTCTGATATTTACACATCAATATACAGGCACTGGATATGTTCCTCTTTGGCCAACTGCGATGCACCACACAGTGAGACGTTCTGCACACAAAACAATAATTTGGGTGGAATAAAGTGTGAAACATAGAAGTGGATCGTCTTTCATAATGACCGATCTACTGTCCAAGTCTGTACTCACTAAATCACAGCTGGTCCTATACAGAGTCATCTGAAACACAAAGTCACAATGTTACACAGACAGGTCTTCAGGCTTTCAAAGTTGCTTATTCAGGTTTCACTGGGGTAAGGGTACTGGCACTCCTAAAAATGAAAAAAATGGGGGGGGGGGGAAATACAGCCTTTGCAGGGAGAACAAACATGGAAAGAATCATAACTGGGAAAGCTATGCATATGAAATTCAAGTCATGCATCCAATAAATTTCTTACAGAGTTTCACAAACCAGAGAAGGCACGGTTTGTCCCATAATTCATGCACCACTTCCTAACAGCTACTTCCCATTGGTCTGCACATACTTTAAAACCACTCACCATAAAGATAACAGAATTTAGCTTGGCGTCACTCACTTACCTCAAATGGAGACTATTGCTCTGAAAAAATGGCATATCTGCCTGCCACATGTATCAAAACCAAGCTAACAAGCCTGTTCATAACAGAACATCTCTACTGTCACAAGTCCTTCATCAGAATTAGTATGACATATAGGAATAATGTTGAAGTCTACCGTTAGACCAAGCCCAACACAACAGAATAAAATTGGACCTGGTGGTTTGTCAGGCACACAAATAAATATGACCCACAAGGGGTCCTCTGTCACGCTCAAACCATCATTTCCAGTAAAGTGTCAAAATTCCCGACAATTTTAAAATAAAAAAAAAATGAATGGAATTTGATGGCGTGTCATAAATTAATTTCAAATGATTGACTCTATAAGAACGACTATTCATATTCCATTATGTGGCAAGTACTTCCTGACAAACTACCTCCCCAAAATATTGATAAGTGGAACATCATGAGGAACTCAGATTGAAGTCTTACTGAGATGGTTCTGTGTCTTGCTGCATATACAACCAAACTCATTACACTGTATTTATAATACATACCATGATACCACCATTTGGTCTTCTTCGGATTTTTATTGCAGGTTTTTACATAGAAGGAGTTGTCAGGAGGCCTCTTCTGGAATAGAAGCAAAATTAACTAGTTAAACAAGAGATAACAGTCCTAGAGCTTTGTATGCAGTGGGTACCAGGGCTCAATCCTTCTGCTAAAGCAGCCAGAGAATGAACCTGACCATTCACCTACATCTAATGGTGAGGTTTTACCTACATTTCTTCATGGGGCAGTACTTCACTCTCTTCGGGTCAAACTCCAACCTTGAAAGTGCCTCTCAAAACTGCAATGTCATTTTATGTGAACATGTAGACTATCAGAAGAAAAAGCTAGATTTTAAGACAAATATTTTTTCCTTTTCAAATGACATAAGCAGCTAGAATATTTTAAACACTCCAATTATAATGTGAAACATTAGAACATATTGTACATGTTTGCTAAACAAAAAACTACAATTCTGTGTATAGTTTTGTATGGGTGTAAAATTTGGTCTTCCACATTAAGAGAACAACACAGGCTAAGGAGCCTATAGTGTACACTGTGAAGCAGAAACCGTGAGAACCAGTGCACTTAAGACACCACAATCACCAACACCTCAGGGCAGCAAAATTACAAATTCTCTGCTAGTAACTTGATACTATTAGACATGGTCACTTTTTACAATTTCAATGCTAATGCTAGTTACTATTAGTCATCAAAATTATTTATACATTCTACTCCAGCATACGGTTACTTTTTGAGACTCTGCCTCTCATTATTTAGATTTTATGTGCAACTTCCTGTTTACTGCTTATCAACATATTTTGCGCTGGTACTGGGTGCTCTTCTTAACTTCTGTGCTAGTGCCTCAGCACAATTTGAGCCCGGGCTATTGTTCATACCCTGCTATGCACTTATTGCATGCCAACAAAAAATGTACTGGCATTATACCTTCTCTTTACAACTGCTGAGCATAGAAACAATACTGAGGCACACCGACTGGACAGAGAGCGCAGGTGACCAATCCTCTGTGAGGATTGACAGGCAGATGTGGCCATTGCTGTACACATGGGGATGGACTGGAATGTTTGGACCAATAAATGTCACCTACAACAATAAAAGTCAAATTGAATTTGAACCAAAATTCTACCTTCTTTTGTAGCCTAAAATCTTACAATGCTGTAAATATGGCTGTCTATTGGTAAACAGATTTAAGTTAAACTGTAATGCAACAGATAACGTTACAAACGCAATATCATTACTGAACTGACCTCTGGTGAATCAAATGGATACTTTGCACTAAATTTAAATTGTAGCTGGAACTGCTCCCCTTCATACAGAGTTCCTTGAGCACCCTCCATATGAATGATCCACCTGCAACAAGAAATACAATGTTCATAAAACTCATACAGCAGGTGTGTGCTATGTTTTATAGTTCTGAAGGAGTTTTACTGTAACTTTTAACGTCACCCATACTGCTAGATGTTTAAAATATACCATTACATAAAAATGACATGTCAAGTGACAATTCAACTATTGTGTTTTTTGTTATTCCAACATCCTTTTTTTATTTAAAACATAATTTTTGAGAGACTAGATTCTGTCTCCATCTTCAGGAAAAAACCTATCCAGTTGGGCCCAATTGAGTATGCTCTTAGCTGAGGATGGAGACACAGTCTAGTCTCCAAAATGTTAAAAGAAAAAGACGATGGACACTGTATAAAACACAATCATTATATTAATATACCATAATCAAAAGTTTTTAGATCTTATCAAGTGACAAATCTGCCAATCACCGTTGTCATGCAGCCTAAGGCATGGGTGTCTGTGTGTGTTTATTCTGTGTTCATGTTGTTTTCTATGTTGGTAGCTGCCTTGTGATGTGGTGATCCCCCATCCAAGGAGTCCTACCGACTGTGTATAGATCAAGAAACTGAAAAGCTGCCAAGGTCCACAAGGGCTGTAGAGCCATAGATACATAAATAGAAATAAGTGACAATTATTCATTAGTTATCAAGAAACTAAAACATTTTGTGGTGTTACCTTTCCATCTTCCTAAAACAATTCTGAATGAAAGCTAAATCAGTTTCTCAAAGCCCCCCCTCATCATACACAATTTCAAGTTCCTACTGATATTTATGAAATTACTAGAATGCAGATGTTTCCAGTCATATGAATGGTACAGTAAGAAAATGGGAAAACCGCAACAAAAAGAAGGCAAATATAGGAAAAGAGAAATATAAAGGCATCCATCATGCTGCTATATTGGTACTACTTACTGTGTGAGGTTTTGCCCAGCACCTTCAGCATCTACAGTAACACCTGGTGGAGGTTCCTTCATCAATGACATGAGCTCTTTCTGTAGGCGTCGCTGTAACAAATAATGTGACAGAAATGTAAGTAACGTTAAGTTATGTTGAAATACTTCCATGCTTGCTGCTTGCTTCATGCTGGGTTCTTGCTTGGCTTATTCGAAACCCTCAAGATATTTTTCTGAAACATTGGCAGACTTTCAATGAACTACAGTATTATAACCCAGAAGACAGATTTCTTCATAATCACTACTGTGGGAACTTCAAATACCAAAAGGGGTCTAGGAGAAGTAAATTGGGATGATTTAAACTGAGCTGAAAAAATTCATGTTATGACAAAATGCATAATTATTTGCTTCATAAAAACAGCAGCACAGAAGTTACACTTAGTTACTATAGGATTCTGACGATGGTGTATAACACACTGATATGTTGGGATTTTGGACTTTATCCATCGTCCTGGTTTTTAAGATAACAAATAAAAACACGACGTTTCAGAAACTGGATCTGTTNGTTACACTGTTAAAAATAAAAATGTATCACCATCATCATGCACTTCAAAGTAGACTTTTATTAGCCTGTTCTGTCAAAAAGATGTGTTTTCGTTCATCTCATTGAAAATTCTTAACTTCTTTGGCCAATCTTAAAGAGTCCATTAAAAATGTGATTATAAAAAGTAGATAAGAGTAAAGCTATCGCTGTACCAGGCGGTGAAGGCCCATATGGTTGTGAGACGTTGTGGGTCCCACATTATCTAGACAACAGGATCAAATATGGTGGTAAGGTTGTCAGCCTTATGCACTGGCCACGCTTTACTCCCCAGGAAACTTGAGAATCCCAGGGCCATAGTGTGCCTGGAAGGATTAGATCAATTGAAAAAATCCAATGACCTCATCGGGACTTGAAACCGCGACCTTCCAGATTGTAGCATAGCCCCTCAACAAACTACACTACTGTGTGCCCCCAAAATATGATTATGCCATTTCTTTTTGTAACCTTGAATTGTTTCTTCTGAAGCGTATATTTGTAACACTTTGCATATTGCTATATTGCATACAAGGTCTATGAATGTATATCCAGACACATGGCTTAAAACATGCATTTTTGCTGTTTCATTTTCTTCCTTTCAGATCTATTCAGAGTCAAGTTTTCTCTGCTATACAGAAGGACTGCAGCTCTTATCTTAAAAAATTTAATCTGTGTATCCGCTATAGTTTTCGTTTTAGCATGCCTTGTATTATTCCACATGTGCTGAAATCTTCTGTTCAAGTTACTTGTCACAGTTGTATGATATGCAACAGCCCAGGCAATTAAAGTTCAGAACTTGTTCAATTGTTACATAATTTATTACAATTTTTATTTAACTGGGCATTTACTTTGAAAAGCTGCAACTTTTCTTAATGTTGAAGTTCCTGATTACAGCTATCTGTTATGATCTGCAACCGATGACTAGTCGGTTTTAAATCATACACAGATTATAAAAATATGACTTTGTGATCATCAAATAAGATTGTTCTAAAAGTCTGTGACAATGGTAAATTGCTACAAGTACTATGTTTTTGGAAATTATCCATCATCTTGTCTTGTAAAAAAAAATAAACTAATTAAAAAAAAAAGAAATAGACTTTTTTAAAAAATAGACAAGATGATGGATAATGTCCAAAAACACAGTACTTATAAATAAGATTGTGTTTAAAACTGCTGAGCCTATCTGACATTAGCTGAATCTGCTAATCATAAGTGGCTGCATCAATACATATGTATTAAAAAGTGGCAAGACACAGGACAGCCATGTCTTACGCACTGGTTTGTCACTTCTGATCCTGAAATTAATGACTGTCTAGTATATGCAGACAGCTGTTATCTTCATACATTCCTTCAACTGTTGTTAAAAGTTCTGGATACCCATTGTTCCTCATTTTGTCTCATAGTTTGTTTCTGAGTACTTCAAAGGAGACCATACAGAGTACAATGAGTGCCAATTTTGGGGGCAGGGTAACCAGGCATCTGCTCCCCCCCCCCCAAAAAGGGAATGAAACCTAGCAAATATTAATACAAAAAATCAAAATTAATTACAAATGTATTGCATACTGAATGCATTATGACAATTAGTAAAATTAATCTTAAATGGCTTTAATGCAAATTTGTAAGCAAATTTTTTGTTTGTCCACCTGTAAGTGGTAGTGAAGAGCAAAAGCTCCGTCCCCACTAGCAATGGAAACTCAATTATCCAGTTATCCATCATGTGATATCACTACAGTCCGTGAGCTATACCAACTAACAACAAAAACCAAAAATATGAAATAAACAATTATTTAATAATGTACTGCCTATGTATTTAGATAAGCACAACAGACCACTGTAGGTCGCGGTGCAAGGGCCGAGAAGGCCTACCCCTCATACATTCATGTATTTAGATCTCCTTAGTATATGTACCAATACATCAACATTTATCATCAAACTTGTCACAGAATTTGTCTTAGTTATACATACTACAGTCAACACAAATATAAAAGATTAAATTAAACTATTTTTTCTTATTGCTAGTGAGGTGGGACTAAGTCCCTTGTAGTGCACCCACTTCTGGCCTATTCTACCAGCCCCAGATGATAGGTGAGGGTGATTGTGGAGCAATTGGTGGAATGAAGATTGGCAGGGGAAACCAAAGTACTTGGAGAAAACCTGCCTCACTGCCACTTTGTCCACCACAAATCCCACTTTAACAGACACGGGATCGAACCCCAGCCACCGCGGTGGGAATCCAGCGACTAACCGCTTGAGCTATGGTGCGGCCCTAAAATTAAACTAAGTTACCATCAAATACAAATTTCAGTTCCAAGTTAGAAGAAAAGATTAACTGCACTTTTACAACTACAGATATGCCAGCAGTATAACCATGGCACAAGATTAAGCAAGTAGAAGGATATGTAACTGGTCTCAATGCTGCACAGGCATATCCATAAACCAACACCAGTATCCTATTAACCCATCCCACATGCAACTAATGTGGGGTTCAATTACATTTACTAGGGCAAATGCAAATCATTCTAATGGACCTGGTCATCTTATTACAGCTATGACATATAACTATTTACAAACAATATTTCTAATGTATAACACTTCATCCTGCATGATAGCAAGATACAATATTATGTATGGAAAATATTGTGCACAACGTTCTTTACATTCGTTTAAGCAAAATGTACACAGTGTAGAGCAATTCTGTAATACACTGACCCATATGGCGATAATGAAATAATAGAAGGTTGTAGACTTGGGTTTTTCAGACCATTTGGCTCAGATTCTAAAGGTGTATGTAGACTTACATAAGGTTGATTTAAAAAAGGTCTTGCAAAGAAAATACTCTAAAGAGAATGTAGATAAGTTCATAGATATCTTAAATAATGAATCATGGGAGGAAATTTATATGGAGAAGAATGTAAATGAACTTTATAAATTATTTATAAATAAGTTTTTATATCATTTTAATAGAGTATTTCCAGTGAAACTAATAATGAAGAAAAACAACAAGAATAATGCATGGATATCCAGAGGAATAAAGGTTTCCTGTCAAAAAATGCGGTTTTTAAATAAATTGAAACAAAGGATGTCACTTTCAAGGAATGCGCTGGGGTATATTAATAGATATCATAAAATTTATAAACGAGTTATTTCAGAAGCTAAAAAAAGACATAATGACAGACAGATAGTAAATGCTGCTAACCCAAATAAAGTGATGTGGCAAATTATTAATAAAAAAATGGGAAAATCAGGGAAAACTAATCAGGATATTTGGTTACAAATTAATTCAAAGATGATATATCACCCGCAGAAGGTGGCAGATACTTTGAATTCCTATTTTATTGACAAGGTAGAAGAACTAGTGGAAAAGAATAGGAGTAAAGGTAGTGGAAGATCAGTACAAAAAGTCGTAGTAGACAATTCAAAGTCTATGTATTTTTTTCCAACTTCTGAAGAAGAAATAGTCTCAGTAACATCTAAATTGAAAGGAAAAGCCTCTTCAGGGGTAGATGAAGTCCCAGATTTTTTAGTAAAAGCATGCGTTACATGTATAAAAAAACCTCTTAGGTTTATATTTAATGAATCTATAAATCAAGGGGTATTTCCTGATCTTTTGAAAATAGCTAAAATTAGACCGGTCTTTAAGAAGGGTAATAGACAAGAAATTAGTAACTATAGACCTATATCGGTTATATCAATATTCTCTAAAATCTTAGAAAAAATAGTGTATAATAGACTGGTATCTTTTATTAGTAAATTTAAGATTTTAACGGTAAATCAGTATGGGTTTCAAAAAAATAAGTCGACTATATCGGCGTGTCAGACATTTATTGGTAATATACAGGAAGCTCTGGATAGGAGGTTAACTGCAGTTGGTATATTTTTCGATCTTTCAAAAGCGTATGATGTTATAGATCATGATATTCTGCTAGAAAAACTTGATCATTATGGAATAAGAGGAAAAATTAATGATTGGTTAAAATCCTATCTGAAAATGCGTTCTCAGTATGTTGAAATAACATCTAATGATAGTAAGTACTTGAGAAATCGGTTTAGTTCGATAAGGAGGAATACAAAATTTGGAATACCGCAAGGGTCTACATTGGGCCCGCTTTTGTTTCTTTTATACATAAATGATTTACCCCAACATATAACAAATGGGGAGGTTGTTCTCTTTGCAGACGATACAAATATATTGGTTATTGATAAAGATAAAAGCATCCTTCAAGATAAAATAAAGAGAATTATGATCCAACTGGAATCTTGGTTTTCAAAAAACAATATGATTATAAATAATGATAAGACTAAAGCTATGTTATTCCAGTTAAAGAAACCGCATGACATCTCAGGGCCAGATATTATTTTTAATAATATAAAAATTAAGTATACATCTCAGTTTAGATTTTTAGGTATTAATATAACTCAAAATCTCAAATGGAGTGTACATATTCAGTCCTTGTGTTCAAAATTGAATAAGGTATGTTATATTATTAAATCTTTGAAAGATGAGGTAAGTTTACATATACTCAGGAATATATACTTTGCCAAATTTCAATCGTTGGTAAGTTATGGGTTGATTTTTTGGGGAGGAGAAAATGAAAGTATTAAAGTCTTTAAAATACAAAAAAGGATGCTTCATTTCATCAAAGGTGTAAATAACAGAGTGTCATGCAGACCTTTATTTAAAGAATTGAAGATTTTAACTATTACGTCCTTGTACATCATAGAGGTGTTGTGTTATTTTAAGAGATATAATATATACACTACGAGAAATACTGATTTATACGAGTATAATACTAGGAGGAAAGATGATCTTCATGTACAACAATGTAACACATCAGTTTTTAAGAAAAGTGTTATTAATGTGGGCATTAAATTATATAATATACTTCCTTTGGAAGTTAAAAAGTCAAAGGGATGTAACGAATTTAAACATAAATTAAAATTATTTTTATTTGATCGTCCTTTCTATACATTGAATGAGTTTCTTCAACAGGGACATGAGGAAGCATAGCANAAAAGAAGAAGAAGAAGAAGAAGAAGAAGAAGAAGAAGAAGAAAAGGGAATTGTAGTAGTAATTGTTATATTTTTAAAATTTTTAGTGATGTTGTAAGGCAAGTACAGTTTTATTTTTAGTCTAATACATTTTAGGATTTTAGAGCTTTTAACAATGATGTATTTAGTGAGTTGACTTGTTCAAGTGTTGCAGCTGTAACAGTATGAATGCAAATAAATATGAATATGAATAGGTCAGAAAATAACTGCCAAAATATACTGGACTCCCTATAATTTTATTTCCACTTAATTAGCTCGGTTAGAATTAAAGACTGCATGAAGTCATATTCCGATAGGCGCTATACGTTCAAGATACTGTAAGCGCTGTTAAATGACCCTCACCCTTACCTCAAAACCACTTTCAAAATTCTGACACTCCAAGATTCGAGGGGTTCAAGAAAATATATACATATGGGCATAAAAGCTTTCCCAATGTATATTTAACACTAAGTGATGGCATCGCATTTCAAAATATTCCGCAGTACTAGGCAACTACAAAACAAAAAGCCACAAATATAACCTCACATTCCATTTCTATCCACCCAATGTAAATACAACTTTCCTTTTGAACCATTAAACATGAAGACTCTTGTATCAATTAAACGTCTGATAGTTTAATGTTCTATAAACAAGCTATTTAAAATGAAATAATTCTTTATTGCTATTCCCATATTAGTTATAAATATATAAGCACATAACAACAGAGGGCAAGCCAACGTAAAATTTAAAAAGATCAAATTTACACTCACCTCAGACGGTGACATCGACGCCATAATTTTCCTACCGGCCAGCTGGCTGGCAGCATCTAGAACTAGAAACAAAGGAGTAGTGAGCGTCGTAGTGTTGTGGTTAATATATTTGGTATGTTAGAAGTTCGTACGTAAATTACAAAATAAGATTGATTTTCAACGTAAAATTGTTAAGCGTTACTTAATTCGTACAGGTAGTAAAGCGCACAAAGTAAATAATGTAAGCAACCGTAAATATCTGTGACAGGTAGCCGGTTTGACAGTCAAAAAATGTCAATGTAAATGTTGACAGTTAACTATTTGTAATAAATTCGAATTCCGAAATGAATTTTGGTGGTACCGTACGTCTAAACCGAATGGGCGTCTGCATAATAATTGGAGCATGTTGCCTATTAGTGCTGTATATAAACTCTAATGGCATGGAAAGCCTAAAAACAGAACCAGGAAAGAATACTGGCTCTGTAAATTTAAAAAGCTTATTGGTTGCTGCCGTTGAAGTTGCAATAAAAGGAGGAAAAGAAATTGCTGCCGTAAGAAATAAATCTAATAATGGCGAAAGAAGCAAAGGTAAAACGAAGGAAGGGGTAAACGATCCAGTGACGAAAGCAGACTACAATTCCCATTGTGTTATGTACTACAGCTTCATCCATTCTTTTCCAAAGATCAAAGTAAGTCAAGTCGGTAAATGCGCGGTATACGGCCTGAAATCCCCAACCTCAGCTATCCAGATCTAATAAAACAATCCCAACACAACCAAACCATGAAGAAAGAATTGTGGGATCCATTATGTGTTATAGAGGTCCAATCTGTATTCTGCAGTACTGCAATGTGCAGTAAAACCACAGGGAAACAAGTTCTGAATTTGTAAACAGACCTGTTTCATGTTCACAGGTAATTTCAGAGGAAGGTATAAAGGAAGATGACTGTAAAATTTTATCCCATCTGGAGGACAATTCAGATGGCACTGATAACCTGAGCCCACTGGATGATCAGTTTGTGCCAGCAGAGGATGTCACAGTATGGATTGACCCTTTGGATGCAACAAAAGAGTTCACAGGTGAATTCAAATGGGTTGCATTTTGAATATATGGTGTTTTCATTGTTGTTGGAGGAGGTAGCTTGTTCTAGAGCTGCAGCTTCTGTAAACAACACATCACTGATGCAATGTTTTATTTCACTTAAAAACATTATCTTTTAATTGTGCAGTTTTATATGCAAAAAGACCAAAGAAATATCATTAAAAAAAGTTGTAATGGGAAACCCAAATTCAATGTATTTTTGGCCATCTCAGAAGAAGAAATTGTCATAGAAGCATCTAAATTAAAGGGCAAAGCCTCAGCGGGAGCTGATGGAATCCCAGATTTTCTTATAAAACATGAATCTCAAGTATAAAAAAAACACTCAATTTTATATTTAATGAATCAATAAATCAAGGGTTTTTCCCTGATTTATTGAAAATTGCAAAGATCAAGCCAGTTTATAAAAGAGGAAACAAACATGAAGCGAGTAACTATAGACCTATATTGGTGCTATCAGTATTCTCAAAGATCTTGGAAAAAATAGTATACAATAGACTTGTGTCCTTTAAAGTAAAAAGTAAAAAAGTAAAGCTATCCCCGTAACAGGTCGTGAAGGCCTATAGGGTTGTGAGACGTTAAGGGTCCCACATTACCTTGACAATCGGCTCAAAGATGGCGGCAAGGTTGTCAGCCTTACGCGCCGGCCGCACTTTTCTCCCCAGGACAAACACTTAATTAATTCCTGGTACTCATTTTACAGCTAAATTTAAAATATTAACTGAAAAACAATATGGATTCCAAAAAGATAAATCAACAATATCAGTGTGTCAGTCGTTTCTCAGGAAGATACAAGAAGCTTTGGATAAATTACTACCAGTGGGTATTTACTTTGATTTAACAAAGGCTTATGACATTAGATACTAGATTACATACTGTCAGTGATTTGGTTGGTAAAGTTGAGAAGATAGCAAGAAAACCATGGGTTACACAGGAGATGATGAGTAAAATGGAGGAGCGAAGGAAATGGAAGAATGTCAACAATGAAGAAGGCAGGAGGAAATACAGGAGACTGAGGAATGAATTGAAAAGAGCCACGGACAG